TCTCCTTTCATTAGCTGTCACTCTCGCAGCTGCTCCTGTGAGCATCCCGTGATGGTTTGGTGCTTGGGTAGGGTTGATACAGGGACCTGGAGGTCTTCTCCAGCAGAACTGAGCCCCGTTCCTCATTACACAACCGACACCAAAACCCCACGCAGGGTAGCATCTCTCCTTACCAAACCACGTGCCCACCGGCACATCCACCCGCCCTGGGCACGATCCCGCTTTCTGGGGAGGGACGAGGCTTCCCGATGGGTTTGGGTGGTGGGACTACGTCGGCCACCGCTCCTGGGTGTTAGTTGTGCCCGGCAGCGTTGCAAACGAGCAGTGCTTGAACCTGCAAGCCTGAGGAGGCCGTTTCAGCTGCAAGATAAATGGATATCGTGGAGCAAGTGGCAATTAGCGTGGGTAAAGAGCCCCTTAGTGACTGTCCCTTACATAACACCTTTGTTCCGGGCCCTTCACTTCATATTCAGTTTGTAAATAAACTTGACTCCCAGTTTTACTGGGGCCTTTATTCTCTCTTTATTTTATTTTGTTATTCTTTTAACTCGGCGAAGAACGAGCCGATTGTTTGTCTACGGGGAGATGCGGTCCTTTGAGGTGCTGCCCGGTCTGGCGTTGCCCGCTCGCCCCGAAACGGGTGCTGGCAGCAGCGAACGGCAGAGCCACCCATGCGGCCGCCATGCCAGCGATTTTAATTGCTTTGCCCCCACTGACGATGCCTGGAGGCTCGTTACGCTGCTGGCGATGAATGGGGGCCGGAAAAATGGGGCTTTGTAATTGCAGTGGGTCGAAGGCATTGCGGGGGGGTGGTTTGGCAGAGGGGCTGAGCTCTGTCCCCCAAGTTTGGGGTCAGGGAGGGAGTTTGGGGGACTCTGGATCAGCCTCAAGGCAGGGACCGGTCTCTAATTCACGGCGTGTCCTCCTCATCACTGTGTGTAACCCGTGGGTCCCAGGAGGCTTTGTCTGCACCCGTGGGTGGCCTCTGCCGGGCTGGCAGTGAGAGGATGCTCCAAGGCACGGCGGGCTGTGCCTCGGTGGATTTGGGGTCCCTGGTCCCAGGCTTTGGCCATGCTGCGGGGAACAGGGCTCGCTGCCTTTCCTGCCTTTAACCTGCACGCTCAAGCTGTGGTTTGCTTTTGTTGGGTCCTTTTCCAAAGGGCAGGGGCTGCTTGGGGAGTTATTGAGATGTTTAGGGCCACGAGCGAGTGGCTCTTCCTCCACCGCCGGCACTGCCTGGGCTCTCCCCTTGCCACGGCACGGTGCCGCCAGTCTTTCAAATGGCCCAGCGCCGGTGCTGGTGATGCTGTGCCATGATGGGAAGCCGTTGGGTATTGCTCTTTGTTTGGTGCGGGGATGGTTGGGCCCCTCTGCTCCTCTCCTGAGCCTTCCCTCTCCCATATGGTGCCCATTATTAGATGTGTGCACCAGCCTCGTCTGACAAGGAGCTTTACAGGTGTCGTTCGGATAACGATTCACACTCTAACGAAGGTGGGAAAGATGATTAGCTGGCTTTCTATCAAACAGCACATGGCATCAGCTGTTCCTGGGGATGGGGAGGTGGTGGGGGCTGCGGATGTGTAAGGACACGTACGTCGGGAGCTCAAGGAGCCCGGGCTTTGTCCTGCCTCTAATTCCAATGGACTCTCAGGCACCTCTTTGTGTGCCTTAGTTTCCCCAGCTGTACCAGATAGATGTTGTTATTGCTTTTCCTTGTAAAACACCCTTTGAGCAGCTGATGGAGCCTCCTGCATTAGCAAGAGGTGATTTAGGCAGGTCTCGTGGCAGCTGGGCTGCCGCGGGAGAGGGCAAGGGAGCTGTCAGAGTCGGGGGTCTCAGGGGACAAGGCTGGCTGGGGAGAGGAGGGGGAGAAATGTGAATCAAATGACACCCCCCCTTGGAAGCAGGGATGTGATGTGGTGCGGCTGGAGCGTGTCTTGGAGGCTGCGAGACCCCCACGGTGTGGGGAAGGGGTCCCTGGTGCCAGCGTGGCACAGGCAGGGCTTGGTCCGTGCAGATGTGTGTCCGTGCCCTCCCCTGCCTGCTTCGTGTTGGTGAGGCTTTGGGGTTTGCCTGCTGATGTATTTTAAATAAAGACTTGGTTAACCGGCAGGTCCCAGCATCCCTGAGCCTGACACGCACACACCGTGTACACCCCACCCCTGCGAGCTGGCCAGATTTCTTCTCCAGCTCTTTCTACATCTTCAGTATTGTTGGAGAGAGAGGTAAAATAGGGAAATGAGAATAAAAATGAGCTTTTTCTCCGCTGTCCTTTGGGAAAGCGGCGCTGTCTCATGGTACGTCTCCCCATGTCAGGCTGCGATCTGAGAGTGAGCCCTGCTTTGAAAAGCGGTGGGGCTGGGGAAACTGAGGCACGAGCAGCGTCTGGCACCCAAACCACCCTCAAAGAAGAAGAGATAGGAAGGTGGGGGTGCTCACCCAAGCTCCTCATGCCCTGCCAGGGTGTGATCATCACCCAGGCACCGTCGTGACCTGCCTGTCCTGGGCTAGACCCTCGGAGCTGCGGGCAGAGCCAGCGTTGCCTCTCCCCGAGCTAGCGAGTCCGGCAGGATTATCTGCTTAGCTACACCATCTGTTTGCCAAACTGCCATCATTATGTTCAACTTGGGAAGAAAACGGCCCCTACAGAGAAGCAATTTGTTCGCTGACTAAACCTTTCAGGCTCTCGCCGTCCGAACCTACCCTCGCCGCTGCACGGGCGAACTCTCCGCTCGCGCCCGGGCTCG